CCAAAAATTTATTCTGATACTTCTTCCAGTTAAAGACGGAGGTAGATATCTTCTGGCTCAGATTAAATCGACCAAAGATTTTTTTCTGATGCTTCTTCCAGTAGACATTTTCTGGCTCAGATTAAATCGACCAAAGATTTATTCTGATACTTCTTCCAATAGACCTTTTCTGGCTCAAATTAAACCGACCAAAGATTTATTTTGATACTTCTTCCACTTAAAGACAGACGTAGACATTTCCTGGCTCATATTAAATCGACCAAAGATTTATTCTGATACTTCTTCCAGTAGACCTTTTCTGGCTCAGATTAAATCGACCAAATATTTATTTTGATACTTCTTCCAGAAGACATTTTCCTGGATCAGGTTAAATCGACCAAAGATCTAATCTGATAATTCTCCCAGTAGACCTTTTCTGGCTCATATTAAATCGACCAAAGATACTCCGATACTTCTCCCAGTTAAAGTCTAGCGTAGACTTAGTCTAATTTCTCTATCATCAGTTACTTTGGATGGCACCTGTAAGCCCATCTCTGACAACTCTTCATTACCTCTCTAAATGGTATCTTTAAGCCCATTCTCGGCATGGTCAACCAACGACATTACTTCGTGCACAAGCGAGTGCAAATTTTTGGGCACTTAAGTGTTCAATCATCTTCCACCTTCAAGTCACGAATGGCGGACATGCCAATCTAACTCTTCAGGTTTAAGAAGATTGAACAGGGGCAGCTATTGTACCCCAAAATATTCTCTCCCTTTTCTTCAAAACATTCCTCACAAAAATTCTCAAATGCTCAAGGATACTCAAGAGTTGATCAGACAAGCTCACCTCATAAGCACTGGGCCCCCAACTAGGGTTTTGGTTTTCTCAAGGAAAATTGGACTTCTAATGCCTCAAGTGACTTTCATGGTTCATCATAAGTCTCCAAGAATGCTCGTACCAAGTTTCAAGTCTTGCATCACAAATTTGCTCAGTTAATTGCTCAGGTGACTGTAGCCAACATACAATCAAAGTTCAAGATTTTTTGCCAACATCAATATTTTGATGTGATATTCATCATTTTATCAAGGGTTGATCATAATTCCTCAAGGAAAGCACTCAAATTATCAAAGGGGCAAAATTGTCAGAATTAGGGTTTTGACTGAGAATGATTGATCATTGACTTTTGACCTAGTACATGACCTAATGACTTGAAGCATGATCTCAAGGACTCAAATAGAACATCTTGATCTAATTATATGGTTCAATACATTTCCAAAGGTGTAAGAGATTGATAGTTGAAGAATTGAGATCAACTGATGAAAAGTCAATTGTCACACAAAAGTCAAACTTTGACTTTTTTGGTCAACTTTGAACTTCAAAGGTCAAAAGTCATCCAAAAATTAAAATTTGTCAAGCTTGATCAACAAGAATCAACAAAGTCAACAAAAGTCAAAATTTCCAATACTTAGAAAAATTCTAAGTGTTTTGTCCTTAATAAATTCACTACTTCATGACCATTTTTCACTAAGATACAAGATGATTCAAGGAAAATTTTCAACATGAAAGTTGTAGAGAATGATGAGTTCTATAACTTTTTCCTTGAGGAATGATATCCAAAAAATTCTTGTATTAGGACATATAGGCCCATAAAGTCATGACATTTTCATCTAACACTTAGAGAAATTTTCAACAAGTTTGGTCAGATTTTTGTCCCAACTTCTTGGTAATTTTTTACCAAGTTCCAAGTTGATTTAGCCAAAGTGGTCAACGTGAAAGTTGTATACAATATTTAAAGCTTTCCAAAATGTTCAAGAATACATTTTTATCATGCTTGAGCTAATAGATTCAAAGAGATGAAGTTGGGCATCCATTCTTGAATTGTAGGTCATATTATGATGAACATGAGATCAAATATCCAAGCCATGCTGCATAAATCTTGCTTTGCAGGCTTCTAACTTGAAAATCACTCCATAATTAAATGTTTACACAACTGATTAAATCATTATCCAAGTGTTTGAGCCATTATCCAAATCATTTTTCCATTTTGGGAAGAAAGGCACCATTTCCATTCTTGTAAAGCAAGCTTTTTTCAAAGTCAACTCTCCTTGAGCCTCTAACTTGCTCCCTTTGCACACACTCAACATAAAAGCCATAAGAAACATGTTTAAAGTTCCTAACCACTTTAGATTGCCCTGTACTTCACCTTGAAACCATGTATTTCAAAGATTGCTTCATTTACAATCCAACAAAACCATAATAAGTGATCTTGCAAATCTGATCAACTACTTCTCTCCAACCTTTGTCTATAAATAGAGAGGTTCATTTGCAATATAGACATAAGTTCACAAGCCCTTAAACCTCCTAAAATACTCTCAAAGTCAGAATTGCTCTCAAACTCCATTTTGTTGAAAATTCTGACCATAAACATTAAACACTCAATCCACTTGTGCATTTTCATTCTAAATCATTCACAAAGTTTTTATAACCCATATAGAACCTATCCAAAGCCTTGTTTCACCAATGTAACATCATCTTCATCATCCTCTATTTCCAAAAATAGAGCTCTACAACTTGACTTTTCCAGAAGAATCCAGCCACTCTCAATCCAAAGTAAGCATTGCAATAACTTCCTGGAAGTTCAGTGAAGCTATCCAGATCATCACAACACCTCCAGGAGTGCTCTAACTTCAAACTCGAATCTCACTTCAAAGGTAAGTTTTATGAACTTTGAAATCCTTATTCAAGCATCATTTTCCTTCGATTTCAAAAGATAAAATGTAGATTTCATTGCCATGAAGCTAACCATGTCCTTAGTTTTCGTTTATATTACCTACATGATGAGAATTTTGAAACTGAAATTTCTGGGATTTTAGGGTTCAGTTTGGTACCAAGTAAAATTCTCACTCATATTTGATTTATAGCTCTTGAAATTTATATGGTTGGATTCGTGGTTAAATTTCCAGCAAGTTTCATGTTTACACTTTTCAATTTGGTATAGAAATGAACATTTTCAGAAATTCAAAAATGTTATTGTTATTACTGGCACGAGGAAGAAGATGAAGTTACCTTCAACAAGGAGTTTGTAATATATTTAATAGTTATTGCTTTAACTACCAGATGTATCACCACCCCAATAGTTAAAGGTTGCGCCTGTGACTATAGGGACCTGTTGTAGCGGCAGAAATGTTTAAGAATAAGGCATTGGATTGACTAGACTTATATAGATCAAAATAAAAATCGTCACTGCGCTTTATTGTTTCCAAAGGAATGGGAAAAGAGCGAGTAACCCAAAAAGAGGTGAAAAGATTCAAGGTAAGGGGGTTGGTTATGCAAAGGGAAGGTATTAGCATCCTAAACATCTACGGTACTCCGTAGGAACCTCTTTGTATAATCTGTATGTTTTGGCTATAAAAAATTGTATAAAAATGGTGGAGGTGAGAAAATAAATATATTTTTATGATTTTTGCACCCACCGCGGTTGCGAACCTTTAGTGCCTACGTACCACCTTTCGTGTAATAGGGGATCAAGTTACACGTAGTTCACCTTTTTAAAAATTTTAAAACACAAATGTGTTGGTTAATTTTATAAGATAAGACATCATCATCATTGTCCGTGTCGAAAACATACTTACTACCCACAATCATGAGAAAGGAGATTTTGCATCATCTCAAAGTAGAGGATATGGCTTGGATTTTAAAATCAACAATGCCTCACTCAACACCCAAGTGGAAAATATCTCTCTTCACTATATATTATAGAAGTATAGTTGTTTGTATTACTATAAGGATTGACAAGAGTCTAATCTTTTGAGAAAGGTTTTAAATAAAAGCCAAAGTGGCAAAATAGTTTGAAATGAGTTTGATTGACTTTTAGTCTTCTCACAAAAAAAAGTCAAAGTATGATTAAGGTGGTTAAAATTTGATTAAGAAAGATAATTTTCGAAAATGCATGGACCTAAGTCCAAGTTTATTATGAAAACAATTCCAGTTTAGAAAACAATAAGAGTTTTGAAAAGTTGGGAGAAGATTTTTAAAGAGAAAAGTGCACAAAAGGCACAAGATGATTTGAACGGGTTAGAGTATTTTGTTCGGGAAAAATCTCAAGTGATTCAAAGGTTGAGTTAAAGGGAAAGCTATCCTGCTTGTATCAACATTCTAATGTCTAATCAACATAAAACGATCAAAAGGGAGATTAATCGTCTCATGGAATCCTAAAGGAGCATGGTATTTCAATACAAGATAATTCTCAATACTCGATCATTTTATTTGGTTAATATTAGATGAATAAAATACATAAAACATGATGTTTAAGTTTAAAAATAAAAAAAAATAAGGATATGGAGAAATAATAGAAGCAAAGCCCAATTAAATCCTAAAATACTAAAGTATTTTTTATATCACTTTTTATTGTTTTTATTATTATTTTATTATCTTAATATCTACAAAAACAATAAAAGAAAAGAAAACTAAAACCATAAAAGAATAGGAAATAGAGGGAGGTATAAAGCTTGGCTCAGGTGTGCTGTAAATAAATGAGGCGCTAGGCCCATGCTGAATGGTCCAACAATAGTTTTTTTTTGGTAACAAGCTCCAAAAATTGATGGCAGTATGGGCTTAAGGGAGGTTCCAAAAACGAGGCTCAGTCTAGAGTTTTTGTTCAGAAAACAGATGTTCTAAAAAAATGCTATGGGCTTGTTGTGCACAAAATTTTAATAATAGGCCCAAGGAGCTTAAATTCCGGTCCAAAACAAATATAACCTCAATCCAATTTCCTTTTTTTTAATTTCAGTATTTATTTTATTTCAATTTTTATTTAGTAAAAAAAATTAAAAAGAGAGTTGAACATTGCGGTTTTGAGAGGGATAGGGTTCTCATCTTCATCGCAAACAACTCTCAGCTTTTCCTTCTTCCATCCACGAATGGCGCTACCTTCCTCTCTCTCCGACGTTGCAACTTCAGCGCTCAACCTCATCTCAGATTCAAGTCTCGATTTCACCGCGGTCATCACCTTCAATCTATGATTCGTCTTCACTCCATCACTGCTCGCTTCGACAAAATCAACAGTCCACCATTGACAACATCAACTCGATATGCATCGTCGCTTATCTTCCGCGTCGATTCTTCGTGCTACATTTCATCTTCTTCTAACACCGCCTTTGATTCAAATCTTTTGATACATCATTGTCTCCAATCGCGGACCTCGCTTCAATCACAGTTTCACGATCTTTGTTCACTTCCTCGCAGTGATATTCGCGATTATGTTTCAGATTCGTAATAAAACAGAGTCAGCTCCAGCAAACTTAAACGTGCAAAGCGACGAACAAAATAAGATGCAAATCTTACCAACCGGATAATCGCCCGGTGCACCTTCAATATGAGAAGACGAGAAAACCAGAGGTGAGTGAATTTTATTTTAATTCTCCTTCAACTCTTTCTATTACTCGTTCTGAATTTCTCTGTGTTTCTGAATCTATTCTGTTGCGATACATTCTGCGTAAGTTGTTGCAGTTGTTGCGTTGGAGAAGGTTGGTGAAGATTGGGAGCGAAGATGATGAATGCTAGATGGTGAAGGTTGAAGATTATTGGAGTTGTTGCAGAGAGAAATTTATGAGATCAAGCTTTTGGAGAGGAATTGCAGAATGAATCATGTTGAAACCTCGGAGAATTTCAGAGAGAATTTTGAAGCTTCTCTGAGAAGTTTCTGCAGCAATCAATCTTGTCCCCCTTTTTGGATCTGAAGATAAACTGTTGTATATCAGTTTTATTGGCTTGTCTGAGAAGCTTCTCAACAGGTAAGATCAATCTGAACCATTGATTTTTGAAATTCTATTATATCAATGAATGGATGGATTGCCTCTGAATTCTGAGCTTGAAACTTGCTTCGAAAGTTTACCCTTGAGTTGCTGAGTTATTTCTGATTTTTATTTTCCCAAACTAATGCAAAACAGAATTCTGTTATGAAAACTCACTCTATATTTTCATTATTTCTGATTTAATTCCTTTTTAATATGCTGAGCGTTTTTTTTTGTTCTTATGATGTGTAGACAATTTATCAGATACAGGGGCCTGATTTGTTTAGATTAAAGTCATGATTTGGATTTTTCTCTACATGCTTCGGACTAACATTTCGACCATTGGTCTTTGCAGGAGCACTTATCCTGGATTGCCTATTCAATCTATTAACTACCTCGATGATATCAACATGCTCTCTCCGTAATGTCTTGATTTGGTTTTACCAACCATCCCACCATTGTCAGAAACAGTTGCATATTGGCGTCTATCAGACCACTTGATAAGCATCTCATCCGGTTGAAATTTTTTCCTGTATCTAAGTCTTTGATGGGAAAACATTGATTGTTTAACCATAGAATGATGACCTATCTCGCCATTTGTATTGATATTTTTCATCACATTGATCATAAGAGATATGTTGTGTTCTCACAGTATCATTCTCACTGGCGAGTTCTTTATCTTGGATGTTAGAAGAATCGTCGCTATGATTTACTTCATCTATTTCAACAACTGAATTCCCACCAGTAATAAGATTATTTTGATCCATATCAGTTCCTGTGGCTAATTCTTCTTCTTTTGAATTTTCTTCCAATTTTGCATATAAAATGCTTTTTACACACTTGCACTAGTTATCATTATCACAATTGGCCTAAGGAATGAATAAAGTTTGAACCATGTTTGAATGCCCTTGAATTGAAAGGATTGAAATGATAGAAAAATGGACAAAATTGATCCTTGAGAACATATTGAATAAAATTTTATGAACAAATGGCCTATGCTTTGCAATCTTGCATGATCATGATATAAGCCTTCGTCACTTGAATCATGAGAAATTAGCCATGAACGATCCTTCCAATCTTGTATGTCTAAAAAAATAAACCTTAACTTCACTTGAGTTCATAGATCCGCATTATCTTGCAAATGAGACAACTTATTCCAAATGACCTTAGTCCATATCTCAATCGGTTGAGAAATATATCCAAGCAGTTCTTAACCAAAATAACTCCTAAAGGAAGAATGTCTTGGTCACAAAAAATCCATAACTTCACGCCTTCTACCATGATTCATGTTTCGCAATTTAATTCACAAAATCGTCCCAGCTTGATAAATATTAATCTTGAAACAAAATTAATGCCTTGAGGAACGACTTAAAGATGAATGATAAGACTTGAAGTATGAAGTTCAATGAATTTCAATCAAAATGTTGACAAACTCAAGCATGATAAGATGTAAACCCTAGAACGGTGAACTTTGTTGAAGAATCATTATCAATGCTCAAACAATATAGGAGAAACCCTAATGCATTTTTCTTTTGAAGAAAATTCTGATGAAGAAAACTTTGTATCTTGAGGAATATTGCGAAGGAAAATACCTATGATGCTTGTAGATCCAAAACCATGGTTTTGTACCAAGAGCGATGATAGAACCAGTTGAATCAATATGAGGAAGGTAATAACCTCAAATCATATGGACAACCCTAATGCCAAGAACTTTTTGATCTCATGCTTTACGATCTCAAATGAATGAAAGATTTTTGATATAAATGCATATGATGTTATGAATGAACAAATTAGGGGTAAAAATGGGGTATGACAACTGCCCCTACTTAAGTGTCTTCTATCCGGAGATATGAAGGTAGACACCTTCGTCTCGACGAGATTAAAGATACTTAAATATTAGAAGACCTCATTTTTTAACCCTAAGGTGTCATGAAATGCTTATGGTTATGAATGTAGACATAAAGGATTTTGTGGGAAACACAACATTATTGGGGATAATAACGTAGATGAAACTACAACTTGAAACCTGCTGGAGAAAGACGCCAAAGAGAATCCACCCGGAAAATAAATCACTGGGAATGACATAACTCCGGGGATGACTTTGTATGGGGAAAGCCGAAACCACAATTGAAGGCAAAATGAGGTTTCAATGAGGAAACACTTAACAAAGAGAGCAACAAGCCTATAAGAAAGTAATCTTCCAGAAAGAATTACCTTCCCTACTGAGGAAAGAAACTTGACTCCATTGGAGGAAGATCAACTTTTATGGGGAATAGAAGACTCAACTCTACTAGGGTAAAGCCCGAGAGGAGACAAAGTATCACAAACTCATTAAATGAGGAAAAAGCAGTGGATAACAAAAATCGACAGATAACTGTGAACTACCAACTCAATAGTCGAAGATAAAAGATAAAAAAGATGCTGACTCAAAGATGACGGTAAAAGGTCAAAGGATACACCAACTTTCACCAAAGGTGAAACTACCAACATTCACTGAAAGTAGAAAGAGAAGTATAACAACACTGACGTTCACTGAAGGTGAGCTACCAATGTTAACTGATGGTAGAAAGAGAAAAGAATAACAACATCGACGTTCACTGAAGGTGAACCACCAATGTTCACTGTATTTAGAAAAAAGATAATAATCACCAACTTTCACTGATGGTAAACTACCAACTTTTACTGAAGGTAGAGAGAAAATATCATAGCATCGTCGTTCACTGACGATGAACTACCAACATTCACTGAAGGTAGCAAAAAGATAACAATCATCGACGTTCACTGCCGAAGACCTACCAACTTTCCTTGAAGGTAGAAAGAGAATATATAATAGCATCGCTGTTCACTGACGATGAACTACCAATGTTCACTGAAGGTAGCAAAAAGATAACGATCACCAACTTTCACTGATGGTGAACTACCAACTTTCACTGAAGGTAGTAAGAAACAATATATCATAGCACTGTCGTTCACTGACAGTGAACTACCAGCGTTCACTGAAGGTAGCAAAAAGATAACAATCACCAACTTTCACTGAAGGTGACCTATCAACTTTCACTGAAGGTAGTAAGAGAAAATATATCATAGCATCACCGTTCACTGACGATGAACTACCAACGTTCATTGAGGGTAGCAAAAAGATAACAATCATCGACGTTCACTGTTGAAGACCTACAAACTTTTACTGAAGGTAGAAAGAGAATATATCAGAGCATCACCGTTCACTGAAGATGAACTACCAACGTTCACTGAAGGTAGCAAAAAGATAACAATCATCGATGTTCACTGCCGAAGACCTACCAACTTTCACTGAAGGTAGAAAAAGAATATATCATATCATCGTTGTTCACTGACGATGAACTACCAATGTTCACTGAAGGTAGCAAAAAGATAACAATCATCGATGTTCACTGCCGAAGACCTACCAACTTTCACTGAAGGTAAAAAGATAATATATCATAGCATCGCCGTTCACTAACGATGAACTACCAACGTTCACTTAAGGCAGCAAAAAGATAACAATCATCGAAGTTCACTTCCAAAGACCTACCAACTTTCACTGAAGGTAGAAAGAGAATATATCATAGCATCTCCATTCACTGGAGATGAACTACCAACATTCACTGAAGGTAGCAAAAAGATAACAATCATCGATGTTCACTGTCGAAGACCTACCAACTTTCACTGAAGGTAGAAAGAGAATATATCATAGCATCACCATTCGCTGACGATGAACTACCAGCGTTCACTTAAAGTAAAAAAAGATAACAATCATCGACGTTCACTGCCGAAGACCTACCAACTTTTACTGAAGGTAGAAAGAGACTATATCATAGCATCGCCGTTCACTGACGATGAACTGCCAATGTTCATTGAAGGTAGCAAAAAGATAAAAATCACTAAATTTCACTGAAGGTAGTGAGAAAATATATCATAGCATCATCGTTCACTGACGGTGAACTACCAACGTTCACTGAAGGTAGCAAAAAGATAACAAGTTTCCCCAAAATTCTGGCATTTCACCTAGAACGGGTCTCAACTTCTTCTTTAACCAATGCATTCTGCCTGGAAAGGGTAATATATAAGTTGTCTCAAATAAAGAGACTACCACTTACAAAGATTTCACAATGAATTGTCTCTGCGATATTGAAAAGTCTTGCCATCCACGGGAGTAATTTGACAACAAGCTGCAAACTATCCACTCATAGAGAAGATAGCAAAAAAGTAACGTCGACTTTTATGGGGAAGTACAAGTTGTTCAAATAAAGAGACCTGCTACTTGCTGTTATGGAGGATTGTAAGATGACCTCCTGGGGAAAATGTCATGACTTCACAGGGAAGGAATCATGACTTCACGGGGAAGGCAATATAGTTTCCTGGGGAAAATAATATGGCTTCCTGGGGAAATGCCAATATATTCCTACTGAGGAGATAAAGCCTTCTCGTGCAAAATAAATTCACATTCTCAAACCAAAACTCGAAG